GCCAACCTGGGACCCCTTGTGTGTCACCTGCGACCCTGGGGCAGGGTCATCGCCGGTTTTCGGCCCAACTTCGGCAGCGGCCGCGGCTATCCTCCCACCCCTGGCCACCCCCAGGCGTCCCCGGCCGGGGCCCCGCCGCCCCGCGCCCAGCCCCCTATGCAAATAACCGGGTCCCGCAACCAATGGCTGGCCGAGGCGGGTCCGCCTGGAGGTTCCTCAGCCAGTGGGCGTGAGACGGGGGCGGGACACCCCGCCCACCGCCGCGCGGCCCTTCGCGGGCGAGGCCCGCGCGTTCTTTTCTGCACGTCGGCCTAGGGAGGGGCCGCCACCTGCCGGGCGGGGCCTGCGGGGCGCGAGCTGCGAAGGCGCGGCGGGGCTGGGGCGCGTCCCCTGCCGGCCAGGAGGGTGGTATGGCCCACGACGCTCTCCTTCCAGCCGCGCTGTGGTACTGCCCCGGCGGGCTGGGCGTCCTAGCGCAGGCTGTGGGCTCGGCCCATCACCCCGGTCCTCTGCTCTCCGGTTTGCGATCGGGCAGCTGGGCAAGGCGGGACCCCTGGTTGTGCGACCACCCGGGCAAACAGGGAGCTTCCCTCTCCTCCCAGCTCGGTGGTATGGCCCGGCCGACTTTCTGCCCCCATCCCTGGTGCGAGGACCGCCCCTCCCTGGGAACCCGCTGGGCTCCTGGCACATAGCCTTAGCCCGTGCCATGACCCGGGAAGGATCTGCTTGGGCCCGGACGCGGCGCCCTCAAGACTCATGTACTGCTTGTGCCGCCCTGCCCTCAAAGGTGGTGGGGGTACCCGATAACCTCTGGGTCAGTGTGGATGGCAGAGAGGGGTTCCTTTCCTTCCACCTCCCTGAAAGCAACCAGAGTCTCCCACACCTGCCTCAGAGCCTGGCTCTCCCTGGGAAACCCCATCTCCTTGCTCCAGGAACCTCCAAAGGGTCCTTCTGCCCACCACTGTCACCCTGGTCCTTGGCTGTCTCCCCTCAGCCTCAGCTGCCACCCTGCGCTTCGTCCCCTAGCTCCCATGGCCCCCCTGCATCCACACCTGCCTGAGCAGGCACTGACCCAGCCCAGGATCTTAGGAGCTGGTAGCCCGGGGACAGAAATTCCAGTGCAGAGTGTTGTGAGGTGTGGCCATCTGTGGACAAGGAAAGAGAGTAGAGGAAACAGGGGCCAGCTCAGTTCCACTGGAGGGTACAAGACTTGGATTATGGAAGAAATCCCTGGGAGTGGTGGGATTACTGAAGAGGCCCACACCTGCAGGGCAGGGCACAAGTCAGAGTGAAAAGATAGAACCAAGCTTTGCAGGAAGAAGTCAGGGCCTAGGGGATGGGGGATGCAAGAGGACAAGGTGACTCCGAGCTTCTGTCTTGCTCTGCTGTCATGAATGCCCCTCTTCTCACTGATTGTGGTGGGTTGAATGGTGTGCCCCCCCTCCAAAAAAAAGGATATGTCCATATTCTACGGTAATACCCAGGCTCTGTAAATCTTACCTTATATGGAAAAGGGGTCTTTGGAGACATGATTAAAGTGAGATCATCCCAGACTATGTGGGTAGGTCCCAAATCCAATAAGTGACCTTATAAGTGACAGAGAGAGAGACAGACACATAGAGGAGGCCTTGTGAAGACAGAGGCAAGGATTGAAATGATGTGGCCACAAGATGCTCTTAAGAGGTGCTACCTATGCTCAGTTTGGGCCCAGTCTGGTTCTAGGCAGCTCCCTTGGGACACCTCTCACATCTAAACACAGGTTGGCGTGGTAGGTAGGTGGAGGAATGTTCTTCATGTCCCATCATGGGTGTATATGCTTATTATAATTCCCAGCAGCCTGCTAGAAGCAGGGAAAGATGGGGGTGTGAGGGGCTGGCCCACTAACTGCCTATCCTGCTTTCAGGAACCTCAGCATGAGTCTGTGGGTACCCTTCATCTAAAGGCCTTCAGCAGGTAGACAGGTGTGCAAGAAGGGTCAGCACAAGCACAGGACCAAGCTGAGAGGGGAGGTGCCTGTTCACCACGTGAACAACCCTGAAGCATACCTATCCTGCACTCAGGATGGCCTCATTGACAGGCATGATCATCAATACCTGATTTTATAGCCAAGAACTAAGGCCACAGAGAAGGTGAGAAACTCACCAGAGGTGGCAGGATTGAAACTAGTGCTAGGATGCAGGGGTTCACCTGGGGGACCCACTGATAACTGAAGGAATTGCTTCAGACTACCCATCTCTCCCACTCCATCCACTCTTTCTTCCTGGAGAAGCCCTTCCAGAGCCTCTAAGTACACTGTTCTTTCTCTCATTTCAAAACGGACAAAACCCTCTCTGGCCTGGCTTCTCTCTCTGCTCCTCCCCTCATCCCAAGTTTCTGGTGCTCACTATCCCTGCTTACACTCCTCTCCTCTTTCCAAGTCCCCTCCAGCTAGCCCCTTCCCCAGCACTGCTGTTGCTCTCAGGCCCCAGGTTGCTCCACCTCGGCCCCTGATTGTGGCAAACCCGTTGGCCCCAGACATCCAGAAGCCCCTCTTCTGGTTGTTCCTCCACCCACCCGTCCCTACCACCCTCAAGCTTCTTCTTTGTCTCCGTTGCAGATTCTCAACCTCTTAAAGTTAGAGTCCTGGGTCCAGACATTGGCCCCCAGCCACTGCCCCCATGTTTTCACCTCCATCTCCCCTGGCCTGTCCTGCTCCCCAAGGAGAAGCCCATCTTCCTGTTCCTACGATCTTCCTTTCCCCCTCGTATTCCCTCCAGCTTCGCACCCAGCTCCTCAGTAAATCCCATCGGCTCTGTCTTCAGAACTACCTGGAGCCGTCACTTCCCACATCTGCGCCGATCCCACCCAGGCCCAGGCCACAGTGCTCCCCGAATGGGCGTCACTGCTGTCCCCTCCTGACTGGTCCCGGGCGTCCACCCTGGCCACTTCACAGCCCGCTGTCCCTGCAGCAGCCTGGGGTCCTGCAAGCCAGTGCCGGCTATCTGTTCGAGACCCCCGGTGGTGCCACCAGAGCCTACCACGCTGGGCTCCGGTTTCGGCGTCCCCAGGGCCATCCTCTGCACCTAATTAACCCTGGCCAGTCCTCCCAGGCGCCAGACCTCCTGACCGACCCTGCTTTGTCTTTTTATTAGCGCACATACCACGTGGTTTAGTTTTTTACAGTGTTCAGTTTATTGTGCCTCCCTGCATCAACCCGCAGGGGACCCTAGCTGGGGGCGCCTTCTGTGCTGACCCAGACTCCGGGAGGGCCCGCGCACCGAGGCTCCATCAGAGTTTGCTCAATGCCTGTAAAGATGGAGCCCAGATCTAGGTCCCAGGGGTACCAGGAAGCCCTCCTCCCGCTATCATCCCGGGGTGCCCAAAGGCCGCAGCGCCAGTCTAGGACTCCGGCTCTGGGAGGGGCGGGGGAGCACCGAGTGGCCCGCACAGGCGGGGCGGGGCGGGGCGGGGCGGGGCCCTGGCTGGGGGCGGAGCTCGAACCTGCAGGAGGCCGGACCAGTTACCCGGTCTGAAGGGGGAGGCCTAGGCCGTGCAAGTTCTTTCCGGATGTTTGTCTCCCCAGGCAGCTGTCTAGAGTTAAACAGTTCCCCAAGTACATGGGCCGTTTGACTCCTTGAGGCCTCCGACTACAAGGAGTGGCGCTTTCCTCCTCTTGAAACCGTTCTTCCCCGTCCTGGTCCCAATGGTTCCGGCCAACGAGCTGGGCGGGGCCCCCGGAAGCCGGAGCCGTGCACTTCCGGGTCGAGGAGCTAGCCTCGGCGGCGGCGGCGGCGGCGGTGACGGCGGCTACACAGTCGTGCCTGGTAGCGGCTCCCGGTCGGGCGGCGGCAGTGGCGAGCGCCCGGGAGCTGCCAAGGGGCGCGAGGTTCCCGGGTAGGTACGGCGGCCACGCCGATCCCGGG